CGTATTTACATTAATGGTTAAAAAATTGTAACCTTGTTTTTTGTGTTTCATATAACTCCTTTTGATATTAAATGTAAAAAATAGAAAAATTGAGAGGTTTGCTTTGGTTCTGGATATAAGACCTCAATTCACTTTGTCTCCTAAATTTATAATTTTTCCCCCTAAAACTATCCCTATTAATTGAACATATTAAAGGAATCATTACTACAAAAATGATAATATATAATGGTATTTATTCAATGGTTATAATTAAAAATGTTTTATATGTAAAAGTGAAAAATTAAAAAAAAAACATATTAAATGGTTATTAAATAAACCGTTTAATATTGTAGAACAATACTCAACAATTTCTTAATATAACTGTAGGATATATGAATAAATTAATTTTTTTCCTTTGTATAAACTTACTGAACGGTTAAAACTAAGAAACCGTTGAATATTTTATTTAAATACTCAATGATTATTTATTTTCAACTGTTGAATATATAAATTATTTAAATAATTTATTTTTTATTTTTAAAAAAACATACCCAATGATTAAAACTAAAAAATTGTTTAGTATTTTATGTAAATATTCAATGGTTACTATGAAATAACTGTTGAATATAATCTTTTACACTGACACAACACGAGTGAGAGGGTGAAGAGAGATAGAGTCACCACCCATTTCCCTCTGAAGGCCTTTGTGCCAATGACCATCCATCTAGATCCTGTTGCCATTGTTGGGCATCCACTTAGATCTCTTGCCTAAATCACATTGTGTGTCTCATTCGCTTTTGTGTCCCTTTACTGTAGATGTCTATGCGTCCATGTTTGTCGACCGTCAATGTCCGTCAGCCATCATTCATGGTCTTGCCACTTCAACTTCCATTGATTCCTCAGCATCACCACCTATCACCATCGACCTTGACATTCTTGACCATCGCTCAGCTTCTGCTTCATTTTTCTCCTTGGGTTATTGAGTTTGAACCCCAGATCTAGTATGTTTATATAAACACAAAGTATAGATTGTCAAGAGGGATTGCCATTTTAGCTTAGTGATCCTAGATCATTAATGAATTTTTAGTCCATTTATGTTTTGGGTCCAGATCTATGATAGTGAGTTGTTTTCTCCCTGTGTGATTTATTTGTTTTTTCTTTCCAACTTTTTGGAAACTTAATTCCATAGCCAAATTGCCTCCATGAAGGTTGGGTTCTTGATATTCCTAGTTTCAACAATCTTACTTGTGTTCCCTCACTCCATTCTTTTCTTCTCAATATGCGCTTCAATGTTTTAAGACCCCAATCACTGTTGCTTCAGTGATGTATTCATTCTCTTCTTCGATTATTTTTTGTCATTTTTCTTTTCTTCATGTGTTTCTTGATATAAAAAATAGTCTTTCAATGTTCAATTGAAAATTAGTATGCACTTCTTGTTCGCAGGTTCAAACAAATTAATCAAAAAGGGATGGATTTTGCAGGCAACAACTATAAGTTCTTGCATAACTAAATTTCTTTTCCTAAAAATTCTGACCAGATGGTGGCTTTGACAGCTACCATTACTATTGTAGTCTCATAGATTTATCTATTCAATACATCGAGTGACTTTGCTTGCATTCATCATTATTATCTTCACTAACAATTCGTAAGCCATGAGAATAGAAGATATTTTACTCCCTTTTTTACAAAGAAAAACTATAAAAGGTCTAATTTTTTTTTTTTTGAGTAGTTATAAATTTTTCATTGTAGATCTAGTGTTTTCAAATAAACTAAAAGGCAGGCCATTAGATGGACTGAGTATAACTGTGAGTATTGCGTCTATTTCTTTCTTCCTTTCTTTCGGGTAGATCTTGAAATTCTTGTACATGTATAACTAATAAGGGACTTAAAAAATGCCAATATCTTGGGGCTGTTCCTGGTCTAATTTGGTTAAAGTTAAATAGTTCATATGGGATTGAGCTTGGTTGATTATTCTAGCTCATATATCTTGCAACACCTTGAAAATCTGAATTATGAATCACTTTCTCTACACATGAATAACTCATTGGGAGAAAAAAGAATACAATGAAAATTTTCCTATACCATGAGCTGAAACCCACAATCACTTGCACTTTTGAATGAGCACTGGAACTTTTGGCTTCTTTACAAGAGTTTCTTGTTTTAATCTGTAAATTTCTGCTTCAATAATATATATATATATATATATATATTAAGAGAGGAATACTTAGAATTTCCTTGTAGATGATTAAATAACTCACATGGCATCAGAAGTGATGGGATTGATTATTACCTTAAAGTTGTATCATGTCGCATAGTGTAATTATATTAAAATGATGTATATTAGATTCTTTACCACCATCCATAGCACACCACATATTTAAAGTTGAAATCATATGTGTACATGGGCACACACACTTTTATTTACTCATGCTTGTGTATGATTTGCTTACTAGTATGCGATTTAAAAAAAGTTGGATATAGTAACTAGGAAAATTACAAGAAATATGTTATGAAGTACTGGCATTATTTTCTTTGTTATTGATCAACTTTTCCACTATTTGTGTCCGATGTTTTTTATCTTTAGGTTCTTCGGGCATTAAAGTGAAGGATGAGCAGACTGGCACAATTTACTTAGTAAGTTCCCACTATATTTCTTCTTCAACTTGCACTTTATATATTCATCGAGTGATGATCCTTTTGATCCTAATCACCCTGGTCAATTCATTGAAATGCAATAGCTAATGAACATGTTAGTCAAAATTATAGTATAAAGAATTGAAAATTAGGATGAGAGTCTTAAAATTATTGGAGAAACTTTCATGATTTGTAAATGTTATAATTTAAAGGGAAAATGCAAAACACTACCTTACCAGAGCATAAAATTGTGGGCAAAAATTTTGCTTTGTCTCTAAGATCCTAGTATTCTGCCAATTCTTCAGTTCATTTATATGCTTTACTTCTAAAGCTTAATGTTAGTTAATGTCTCTTATCTAGATATTTGATGTTTGTTATCTTGCATGAGGTTAGTCCATGGAAAATTGTGATGTTCATGTTGTCGAAAAAGTTCATGTCTAGTCATATCTTCATTTTAGAATTGGAGTGATTCATTTTTCTAAATCTATTCATTATTATGATATTTTATGATTTAATTAGATTATTTTTCTTTTATTTTTGCAGGCATAAAAGTTATACTTCTCAAGTCTTAATGTTGCCTTTGCTCAAATTTATCTATCCAATAATACAAATAGCTTTACTATTTGTTTTCATAGATACACTACTACAGAAAGATGTATAATTGACGCCCTATAATTGACGTTTATTTAAAAAAATGACAAATAAAAAAGGCGGAGAATACTTGACGGTTTCTACGAAACAAGCGTCAAATATTTAAGTAAATACTTGACGGTTATTTAAAGATAACCGTCAAGTATATATATTTGACGTTTTTTATAAATAACCGTCATATAAAGCAAAAATTTACACGTCGGTCTTCAATAAACAAACGTCAAATTAATAGTAGAAAAAAAATTAAATTTTTTCACATACTTGACGCTTGTTTTGAAATAACCGTCAAGTTTGTCTGCCATATACTTGACGGTTGTTTTAAAACAAGCGTCAAATATGTAATACTTGACGGTTATTATGAAATAACCGTCAAGTATTGTCATTTAAATTCCCTCCAGATTTCTTTTTCGCTCTCCATTTCTGCAAATCCTTCGTCTTCAGAAACAAACCCAGAGCCACCGAAACCCATTTTTCGTCACTCTAACTGCCAAAAAACACGTTTTCGGTCTCGATTCTTGAGGGGTTTTTGATTCTCGGCCTCCATAAGTCTCGTGGGCACTCGTTCGTTGGGATTCTCGGTCTCTATCACTCTGCATCAGACTCTCGTCTCTGTTTTTCTGCACAGTCGGTGTTCCCTCTTCTTGTTGAGGTAGGTTCTTGCTTTCCCAATCATTAATCTTCATTTTGAATGTATGGGTTGTTGATTTTGATTTTCATACGTAATAAATAATTTTTGTGTTATTTATTTTGATCTGCATTGTTGTTCTTCTCAGTGAGTGTTTGAAGTTTTGAGTTTTTGGGTACTTAATTATTGAATTAAGGGATCATCCAATTTTTTTGTTGATATGAGGAGATTCATTAAGGATATGAAAATAGTATACCACCTAATTACCTTGTTTTTAATATTTTTGATATTTTAAATTGATATTTATATAGTGTTTGATGTGGTTTAATATGATTTTAATTAAAATTGAGTTTCTTATTAATGTTGTTATTATTGTTGTTGGATCATATATAGTCTCATTATGGATAACTTGATTTTTTTAAAGGTAAAGACCTGGTAATACTCATTTTAAGCCGTTATATATACTATCAATTTTTTTAAATTATTCTTGAATATAACTTTATGTGTTTGTTGTTGTGGATGTTGTTGTTGTTGTTGTCATTTAGATTAATAGGAAGAGGGGATAAGGCCCGGGAAACTCTCTTTTTAAGTTGTTATGCTGTCGAAATTATTTCAATGGCTAGCATTAAAATATAATTATTAGTTTTAAACAAGATTAAAGAGGGAATGTGCAAACATGTGGTTAGTGACTTATTGACTAATTGATCTTTGTATCTAATTCTCCCACTATCTAGGAGTAGTCAAAGTCACTAATCATATTTCCCTCTTAATCTTTCTAGGAATTATGGATAAGGAATGGATGTCTGTCAATCGTCTATCCAAGGAATATTGGGATGGGGTGGCAAATTTTGTTAAGCTTGCAGTTAAGCATGCGGAGGATCCTACTAGGATTGTTTGCCCATGTTTAAAGTGTGGTCTTGTGAAGCGGGTTAGTCCAGATACTTGTGAAGAACACCTCGTGATTAATGGGATGGATCAAAGTTACAAGTGTTGGACAATGCATGGAGAGACAAGAGATGATATTGGTTGCAGCCAGAAGCATAGTGAAAGCTGTGCATCATCTCCTGATGATTTTGACACATGCACACTTGAGGAAGATTGTCTTGAACAGATGGCCAAAGCAGTTGAAGAGGACCTCGAGGATTATCCGGAAATGTTTGAGAAGTTGAAAAGTGATGCGGAGACACCGTTGTATGCTGGTTGTAGTGCATCAAAGTTGTCAGCAGTGTTAAAATTGTACAACATGAAGGCAAAACATGGATGGAGTGATGCAAGCTTTACTGAGTTGCTTGGGTATTTGAAAGTAGAATTACTTCCTAAGGAAAATGAGCTTCCTTGTCGAACATATGACGCAAAACAAGTATTGCGATCAATTGGCATGAGTTATGAAAAGATACACTCGTGCCCTAATGATTGCCTTTTATTTCGGAATGAATATGCGTCGTTAACCGAGTGTCCGAAGTGTAATGCCTCACGCTACAAGCAGAACGGATCAAGTCCTGTGAAGGCACTATGGTATTTTCCAATCGTGCCTAGATTTAGACGCATGTATAGCAGTGCAGAAATTGCAAAAACTTAACATGGCATGCGGATGAAAGGATAAAAGATGGCATGCTTCGTCATCCTGCTGATTCTCCACAATGGAGAAAGATTGATTATGAGTACCCTGAATTTGGGGAAGAGAGTAGGAATCTACGCCTTGCATTGTCTACCGACGGGATGAATCCTCATGGGATTCAAAGTAGTAGCCACAGCACTTGGCCAGTCATTTTGGTGATTTATAACCTTCCTCCATGGCTTTGCATGAAGCGCAAGTATATGATGTTGTCCATGCTAATTGCGGGACCCAAGCAACCTGGGAATGACATAGACATATATTTGGCTCCTCTAATTGATGACTTGAAGATCATGTGGGAGTCAGGTATAGAGGTATATGATGGGTATAGAGAAGAAAGATTTAATTTAAGAGCTATGCTCTTCGGTACAATCAATGACTTTCCTGCTTATGGCAATCTGTCAGGGTATAGCATTAAAGGGCAACTTGGATGCCCTATTTGTGAAGAGGGAACACATTCTATAAGGCTTCAACATGGGATGAAGAATGTTTACCTCGGCCACCGTAGGTTTTTACACCAAGAACATCATTATCGGCGGTTGAGAAAAGCGTTCAATGGAAATCCAGAAGAAGGTAAGACACCTTTGCCGTTAACTGGTGATGAGTTGTTTGAGAAGATTAAGGATTTGGATATTGAATTTGGCAAACCATTTGCAAGGCACCTTGGGACAACCGGATGGAAGAAGAGATCTATTTTCTTTGAACTCCCTTATTGGACCACCTTGGATGTTCGGCATTTTCTTGATGTCATGCATATTGAAAAAAATGTCTGTGAGAGTCTTATTGGGACTTTACTCCAAGTGTCAGGAAAAACAAAAGATGGCATAAAAGCAAGGTTGGACATGGTCTCTTTAGGAATAAGAGAAGAATTAGCACCCCAAGATAAGGGGAACCGTACCTTTCTCCCTCCGGCAGCTTATACGCTATCTAAGAAAGAGAAAACTGCATTTTGTGAGTTCCTTAATGTAGTTAAAGTTCCTGAGGGTTACTCTTCAAAATAAAAAATATTGTATCAATGAAAGATTTGAAGTTGAAGGGCTTAAAGTCTCACGATTGCCATGTTTTAATGGAGGATTTCATTCCAGTTGCTATACGTGCAATTTTACCCCTTAAAGTACGAGGGACGATCACTAAGTTATGTTTGTTTTTTAAGTCCATTTGCAGTAAAGTGATTAACCCACATAAGTTGCCAAGGTTGCAAGCTCGAATTGTATTAACACTGTGTGAGCTTGAGATGTATTTTCCACCGGCATTCTTTGATATTATGATCCACCTAACTGTTCACTTGGTTAGGGAGGTTCAAATGTGCGGGCCTGCTTATTTAAGATGGATGTATCCTATTGAGCGCTATATGAAGATTTTGAAAGGCTATGTGAAAAATCGAAGTCGACCGGAGGGTTGTATTGTTGAACGGTATATTTGTGAAGAGGCTGTTGACTTTTGTACTGAGTACCTGAGTCATATTAGCTATGTTGGGCTTCCAAAGTCTCGACATATGGGTAGAATAAGTGGAGAAGGGATCATGGGAAACAAAGTCATTACTATGTCAAGTGTACAGTGGGAGCAAGCCCACTTATATGTGTTGCACAACACTGAAGAGGTTGAAGAGTATGTAGACAAGCATATGGCTGAACTTAGGAGGGACAATCTCAATAAATCAGAAATTTGGTATGCTAGGGAACACAACAAAACTTTTACAAGATGGTTTAAGGAGCACATTCTTCAAAAGTTAAATGTTGATTCCAATTCAGTTTCTAACAAATTGAGATGGTTAGCTAACGGTCCAAGCAGACAGGCCATTTCTTACACTGCTTACCTTGTCAACGGATACACATTTTATACAAGGGAGCAAGATGATAGGAGCACAATGCAAAATAGTGGTGTAACTCTTGTAGCTCATTCCATGCATATTTCCAGCACTAAGGATAAAAATCCTATCTATGCAAACATGTCATACTTTGGTGTAATTGAGCATATATGGGATTTAGATTACATATCCTTTCGAGTTCCAGTCTTTGGGTGCAAGTGGATTGATCGAAAAAATGGCTTGAAATTTGATTACCAATTTGGCTTTGTACAAGTCAATTTAAACAAGGAAGGGTATAAGGATGAGCCTTTTATTTTAGCGCAACAAGCCAAACAAGTGTTTTATGTCCCTGACCCTGCTAATAAGGGGTGGTCTATTCTTATGTTACATGAAAAAATAAATGAAAATGTAGCAATTGAAGATGACCCATTCGAAGGGACATCAAATCAAAGTAACGACACTGTTGATGAAGCTCTATACATGAGAAATGATCACAATGAAGGCATTTGGATTTCAAAGAGGGGTAAATTATTTCAGCATAAGAAGAAAATATTTCAAGGAGGGGGAAGTAAAAAACCCAAGTCAAGGAAACAAAAAGAGCAACTTGAACATGTAACCTTTGAATTAATTATGCCATTTTTGTTTCATGTTTGAATTAATATAGTCGATTATATTTGAATTAATCATGGTTGATTAATTTTTTGAATTAATCATGGTTGATTAATTTTGGAATTTTATTGTGTTACAGGTAAATGGCTTCAGATTCTGAGTCCACTGAAATCCCTCCATCAGATCCCGCTACAACTTCTACTGATGCTCCGTTGTCACAAAAAAAATTGGAACAGGAATATTACAATATCCAGCGAGGCCTAACAATAATGGAAGAAGTCACAAAAACAAGAGCAGCAGGGAAAAAAATATCAGTGCAGTGGAACAAGAAAGGCCAAGCCATCAAATCTGCAAAGTTTATAAGTTATATTGGGGTTGTGGCAAAGACAACTGTACCTATCACGCAGAAATCTTGGCGCAAAGTTGATCAAGCCACGAAGGACATTGTTTGGGAGACTGTATCTGTAAGTTGCATTTGACTAAGTTATATTCTATTATAATATTATAAATTGATGCACCTAACATATTTATTTTATTTTACAGTCAGGATTTGAAATAGACGAGAGCAAGAAGGATTTTGTCCTTCAAAAGGCTGGGAGGGCATTACGGTCTTTCAGACATTTTATTACACAAAAATATTTGAAAGACCCTGATGCTGAATTTGTAGCCCAAGTTCCTCCCCTAGTAAAGCAAGAAGATTGGGATGCTTTTGTTGTCTCTCGGCGCGAGAAGGAATTTAAGGTATTTATGTTTCTAAAATTTAAATTTTAGTGCCTTTTATTGAATATATCTATGTGTACTAACAGGATATTTTTGTTATTGATTAAAGGAACTGAGCGCCCAAAATAAGAAGAGAGTGGCCAAGAATGAATACCCTTACAGAGCAGGGAGGTTAGGGTATGCAGGCGTGGAGCAGAAAGAAGTTGAGGCGAGGGATCGGATGTTACTATATCCCGCCAAAGACTCTGGGCATTGGCACGAACAAATAAAGATGGAGTGATTGACAACCCTCGTGTGAAAGAGGTTGCTGAAAAAATTGTAAGTGTTATTCTTATCTATCAATTAATAAATGATTATTAAAAGGCATACTAATTAGCTCTACTTTTCACAGGATTCCCTCTCTCAAGAAGTATCACAGGGCAAGCTTCCTGAGCATGAGGATATCTTAGCTAGAGCGTTGGGGACCCCTGACCACCCTGGTCGTGTTAGGGGTGTTGGCTTCGGTGTCACAAAGAAGCAATACTTTGGCAAGATTAAGAAGCGAACATCGGCTTCTTCATCCGAGGTCCAAGAGTTGAGAGAAGAGCAAGCTGTTATGAAGCAACAGCTAGAAGCCCAAGCGAAGTTAATTGACATGCTATTGAAGGGCCAGATCCCTGGGAGGCTTTTGGGTGACGTTAGCCCCAGCGGAAAAGATAGCTGCACAGTCCCTTCAGACAAAATACCCGAGGTAATGCATTTTCTCTTTTAAATTTGCTCAACTAATTTTTTATCTAAACAACTAACATTCTTCATTTATTTAGGGCGAGAATGACTGCAACTGTTTAGCAGACGATCCGTCACGCAAAGTAGTTGCAACGGGACGCGTGTATAACATTGCCGGGGACACAATCCATAACCTTCCCCTCCCGCCCGATTGCATTAGGGTTTCCTTGCTTGTTGCAATCGACCCCAAGTATCCATTACCTTATCCTACCGATGAGATGCAGACGGTAGGAGATGCGTTGGGGAGCTTCGTTGCATGGCCCAGCCACCTTGTTATGGTTGGTACACCAAAGCCGACAAAGGACCCAAAGCCGCCAAAGGACCCCTTGCCACCAAAGAAAAAGGTATATATGATTTATATAATTATTTAAAATCTTTATATATATATATATATATATGTCTAACTTTTTCATTGTATAGCCAAGGGGGAAAAGCAAATTGAAGGATAAGGTGTCGGGCCATACTAAAGAGTCAGTCACGGTTCGCAACATGCAGTGCCTATGCCTGTTGTAGAAAACAAATTCGTGACTCTCTTGAGACCTATGCTTCGGCTACGAGGATGATTCGTCAAGAGCCGATAGGGGATATCATTAATTTTGACGATGGGCTATTTGGTAGAGCATCATTTGAAGTCGTTCGGGATGAAATTTTGAATGAAATCCTCAAGCACGATATGGCGAGCACTAGTTTGATGACTTTCTACATGAGGTAATTCTTCAACATTTATTAGTTAATTTCTTGAATTATTTATGTGTGTGAGTATGCAAGCATATTAACTTGTATATTTTTTCACCCAAGTCACCTTTATACCTCATTCGTGGTTCCTGGTGGCCTCGAGTCAAAGATCAAGCTGGTTAATCCTCATGATGTCTCTCCCCACAATAATATTACAAAGGAAGCCCTTGAAAATCAAGCAAGAATGCTTTCGGATCAATTTCGAGAAAGGGGAGCAGCGAAGGATACTTTATTTCTCGCTCCTTACTGCCAAGGGTGAGTTGTTAATATTTGTTACGAGTAAATATTTTTTTATATTTATTTGTTTGGTAACATGTGCTGTTTCTTGTTAGGGGACACTGGATGCTTATTGTGGTTAATCCCGTTGCTCCAAAAATATGGTATCTCGATCCCCTTAATGGAGAGCCAAGCAACAGGGAAGATATGGTGGTACTTTTTAATGAGTAAGTTAGATTTTTTTACTTGTTATTTCTTTTTAATTTTAGTTTTCATTCATATATATTTCTCACATTCATTCCATAATTCCTTCTTAGAGCTGTGGTGTTGTATCGCACTGCGACCGACATGACTGTGTCCCCTAAGATGAGGGCATTCGAATCTTCAGAGAAATGGGTCACTGTTAAGGTATTCATTTAATTGGTCAAGTTTTTAATCAAGAAATTGTCTCATTATATTTTGCAATTTCATTGATATGTGTTTTTTATAGTGTCCATTCCAGCCAGATCAGAGCAATGACTGTGGTTATTGCTTGATGAAGTTCATGAAGGACATTATCACTCATGCCCCTACCACATTATCTAACAAGGTATATATATAAAATTTAATTACACTTCAATTATAAATTTTAAACAATTTTAATTAGCTACCTATTAACTTGAAATTGTTGTAACTATTTGCTTACAGTACTTCGAGGACGTCTATTGCGTTCGTTATACGACTGCACATGTAGAAGAGGTCCTTGAAGAGGTGGCCCAATGTGTTTTCAATATGTGGGTAGCAACAGTAGTTAGGCCTGGTACAATAGTTAGTTACATTTATATACACATTTTTGGGCCAATTTTTATGGGATAGGCCACTTAATTTTGAAACATTAGTTTGCAAATAAGTTTAGATTTTAAGGTTAAATGTATAGGAATTTTTATGTTAATTAGATAGGAGATACTATTACAAACATTCATTATATTGCATTATTTTCGTTGCTGGCTGGCTGTTTTTATCTTATCTGTATTTTATGCAGGGGGTGGCTTTTAAAAGCAGCTACCATATAAAAAAAATTATGTCATTAATACTTGACGGTTATTTCAAAATAAACCGTCAAGTATCAATATAATTGACGCTTGTTCAAAAACAAGCGTCAAGTATTTGTAAATACTTGACGGTTATAAGAAAACAAGCGTCAAGTATTTTATTCTGGGAAGTGCATATTTACTTCATATACTTGACGGTTGTTTTCAAATAACCGTCAAGTATAAGATTAATACTTGACGGTTTTTAACCGTCAAGTATTATTTCTTTAATATATGTCGCACCCTTACTTGACGGTTAAAAACTGTCAGTATTAGGAAAAATAAGCATCAAGTATGGGTATTTC